TTTTTCTTTGTTAGCCTTTCCTATATTATATAGGTCCCGATGCATATCTCGGAACAAGGGGTTTATTTTAAAGCGGCACGATCGTTGCGTGTTGCTCGACGTAGTTTCCGGGCGGCGTATACAACGTCGCTTTCCGCGTGTAAAAGTCACTGTTTGTTTTAAAAAAATGAGCGCACGCTGCATGTCGACTGCAGTACTCTAACAGATTACGATCCTTGAGTCAAAATGTTATAAAATCGCAACGAATATTAAGGCAGACATTTATTGATAATAAGTTTTCTCAATAACATATTATAAAGTTGTCTCATATTGTTCATATCAGTTTAGCGTATTAGGATATAAAGAAATGTCATGGTATATTATTCAGAACGCACTGCACTAGTTAATTACTTCAAAAACAACATTTTTACTCAAACGTCATAAACAACTGGCGTGGGCATACCGTAAACCTGTAAACGCAGAGTATCGTCTGAAAAATACAGCGAATCAGAAGTGTGAAAAACAATTTCGATGATTGAATTGCCCGGTTAGTCGACATTCATCTAAATGACAGACCACAGTCCCTCTATCGATAGAGGGACTGTGGACAGACGAATGTATCGGAGTCGTAGCTATGTGTATTTGTTTACACCTTTTTTTTTGTTTGTGCAAAACACATACAACCACGTGGGTTTACTCTCAAGTTCACGGCTGCGCACGTAACTTGTGCAAATGAAGTCCCCGGGTACTACAGTACTTACAATTACATATACTGAATAAGTGACATCGCCAGCGCTGGAATATACTTTATGTATGACCCTAGAAGGTCACGCATTCTGGGAGTATTACATTGCCCAATAAAATATTTTTGACATGTCGTACTACCACTCTATCTGAACTTAATGAAACCAAGAAAGTCTGATATTAAACTGACTTGACTGACAATAAATGGCGGTTAAACGAAGTAATTTATTTCCAATCAAAGCCAGATTTACAACCAGCTTTATAACTGCGTTTTTTCCCCGTAATTGTCATGTCATTCCAAATTTAATATGCAAAACAAAAGAACACGTTTTTTTTCCTGTCAAATTTCATTCATCTATTTCTTTCTCAAAATTACTTGATTGCTAGATTCATTTACTTTCGCAATAAGCTTCATGATAACGAGTTTTGTGTTGGCAATAGCAAATGAATTGATTCCTTGGCTGTTATTTTGACTGGTATCATGCATCGTGCGGTCATGGTTTACAGTGATCCAGTACTAGGACGTACATAGTCCACGAAATTTCAAACTTTAATATTAAAAATATACAAAATTTCTCAATATAGTAGATAGGAAGATATACATATTAGTTCTACGGTTAGAAAACAATACCAAGTTCAAGTGCAGATTGCAGAATAAGAGGAAGTAGCACAGAGTCTCATCATTAGTTTATTTTTTTTCTTCTCAAGAACAATGTCCGTAGATGTGCACGCGTTGATTGCCATGTCGGAAATGGCATGCCGAAATCAATTAGTATACGTAAATGTAATACTAGTAGTAAATCGTCAAAATGAATATTGAATACAATGGCGTTTTGATGCTTAGCCCGAGCATGGAGCTAAAAATAAAAACTCCATGGCCCGAGCTAAGCGTTCACGCACACTTCATTAGCCCGTGCTAAGGGTCTGGACCGGGTCTTAAAACAGACTTAGCATTTCTTGGCCCGTGCTAAGGGTTCACGCACGCTTTTCTTAGCACGAGCTAAGGTATTTGACCGGTTAGCCCGTGCTAAGGAACTGTGCGTAAACGCTACTTATAGTGCTTATCCCATATTTGAGGTGTTGATGAAAAGTGAAGGTCGTAGTGTTTAATCTGCAAATTAAACACAATGTTCATTGTTGTAATTCCACAGGGTCACTTTACTTTATTCATGGAGATAAAATAGACTATTTTACATCTATGCTTTATTTTAAGAGGTATTTAAGATCTGCTGAATAAGATTTCAAACCACCTGTACAAAATTCAAAGTTTTCTACAGAGGTCAGTGAAAGATTTTCTTCAAATCATAAAAAGTGGGAATGTAACCTGTAAACCCATATGTTTACTGTCGTACACTGTTGCCCTGTCACCGAAGAACAGTTCATCGAGCATACGGTGAATGCCACCCATGCGTATGTGATATGCTTTCAGTTATGTATCAAAGACCGTGCCCGTCATCGAGACTTCCAACAGACAACTATTGTAAAAAATTATTCAATTGTCCAACAGAGGTCAAAATAATGAAACAATGGCGACTCTACCCACTGTGTACACCCCAGTACACAAAACAATTGTTATCCATTGTAAATCAGACAATAGATCAATCCAACGATGCGTCTGAATAGATTTTTGTTTAAGTCTTCATGCGTAGTTATAAGTTACTAGTATATGTGTTTGTACTCAACGACTAAACTCACAAACTGGCTCGTAAAATTTAGTGTCGTTTAACATCGAGAACGTAAAAATTAAAACACTACACACCTTTCAGATTTGTCTGGCTGGCACTCAGTTTTAGGTCGTGTTCTTTGAGTTTGTCCTGCATTGAGTTTTTCAAGTCGAGCATGACCTGTCTTATGTCCGTAATATTCTGAGTCAATATCGAGACCTGTGAGCGACTTCTCTGTAAAACGTACATAGTGTCTTCCAATGTTTGCCGCAACCCTTCTCCATTGTAATTGGTGATATCGTCCAGTTCCCGCAAACTGGTGTTTTGTTGACGTAGATTCTCGGATAGGTCTGACAAACTTTTTGTATAGTTAAGAATTTTGTCTTCGCCTGCTTCGTGTTGTTGTGTCATCGGTGTATCATTTGTTGCTGGTTGTTGATTCGATGATTGTGGTCGCGCGGTCGTTTTCTCGACGATTTGTTCACTCCCCGCTTCCTCGCTACTGCTGTCACTGCTGCCGCTACTTCCGCTGTCGTCGTCGGAATCAGAATCGCTGCTGGAACTCGACATGGTTTTCTCGATGTCCTCCGATTTCTCCATATTTACCGGTAAACACGAACACACGAACGAGCGTGAAATTACTTCTATTCAGCACTGACACAACGTGGGTCAGCGTCGATCTGTCACGTGGTTGGCCAGGTAAAATCCACCAGCCTTGCTGGAACTCGTGTTCATTTCATCGAACCGGGATGTGTATTTTACCGTCGATCAACCCGACGTGACTTAGCCTTTTTAAATCTCATGAATAACAGTGAAAACACGTGACACCGCTTAGTAACGGGAAACTCATTGACAGGCAAGCCAATGCCGCGGGGGTTACAATACACTCACACGGCCAACACACTTTAACACAACAGACATAGCGATGTTACCAAGAGCAGTACAATTATATGTAAACAGTCGGATTTTTATCGATAATTTTGATATCGCAGCCCCGGGTAATGAGTTAATTCCCGTTGTCAGGAAACGAGACAATCTCATTTAAACGGATCGTATTATATTTTCAAGTGAAATGCATACATAAAATGGAACATTCCATAAGCAGTCAATTTGAGTTTGTATATTTCCCGATCACCAGACTTACACACGCCGTCGGAGTAATTTGTTTTAAACTTAAAAACTGATGCTCATTTCACGGAACGCAATTATATACGTATGCACGTAAGTTATTTTATTCCGGGTCACTCGGATGTTAATATTTTGTAATACATTCATTGTCACCCAAACAATTTGCCGCTCTTCGCCCATACAGCTAAATAATATAATTATTATTTTTTAAATAAATCAACGCCGCTTTCTTTTACGATAGCTGTTTCGGGTTGTGTGATTGATATCCCACGATGCTCTCTTACGCGATATACGTGGCCAAAAACACTCCACCGAACATGGCCCGCTATTATATTCATTTAAGTGGCCGTTTCACTATGCGACGCGTTTCGCGTGTTGCTCTCATCTATTGTCCCGATTCCGTGCTTACAATATCCCTAAGTGTTCGCTTTGAAATACACGCATTGTGATGGGAGATTCCCTGTTGGCAGCATTTAACAATAAGCTCGTAGAACCAAACGCGTTGTAACTGAACAAACAATTGCTGGTCTACAATTACTACACAGATGAACTTTCCGTTTTACATAAGAATGGATGGAACTGATGTTTAATATAAAACACTAAAAGTATTACAAGGTACGGTATCAACATTAGTACTGGCAGACATATCAACACTGACGTAATTGCACAAGTCGGTGTACATAATGGGGGTGGCCCCGACGGTAACCACACCTATTTCGTATCTCAGACTATGGAATGCCATACTGGTATCCTCGCGCGAGATTGTTGTGGATTTAGCAAAAATTAAATCCATGAAGAGTCACAGACAGATAACCTACCAGACCTTTAAATCGGGGGGGGGGGGGGGTTACCCACGGAAGTGGGTTCGATCGCCGGTCATTAGGTCATAATACCGTAGAATCGGAATTAGTAATATAATAATAACTTTATTACACTACTAAAAACCTTCAGAGGGGTTTTTGTATGGTAAAGAACATAAATACAAAAAATACAAATAGACCAATTTCAAAAGAGATACAATAAAAAGGAAAAATAATAGAAAAAATGTCAGTAAAATGAAATAAAAAATAAATTAATTACTTTCTGTAGTTTTAAAAAATGTGCTCTTCACATATTTTGCTAAGGCTATATTATTATCCATAATCTGGATATGAAATATTGATTTCACATTTATTGTGTAAATATTTATTGCACACTCATCAAACAGTTTCTTTGTTCTATATAGCAATTACAAAATAGCAGGAAATGTTTTTCATCTCCTAATGTTTCAGTGTTATTTTTTTTTACAATTTTCTATATATATGTGGTGTATTGCAGAGCATTTGAAGTGAATGTGTTTTTATTTACCGGCACACACGGACTTAGAAACTGTGACGTCATCTACTCCGAGTAGTGAACTCACATTCAAGGACGCATGCTGAGAAACGTGCTTTGAATATACCAGGTCACCAGGTGGGTGACCTTCTCGTTCTCTGTGTTGACCCCGACCGTATGTATACCTTGAGAAGAGTACTTCTTGCTATACTCTCCTCGATTTTTCGACTATTTCAAACTTACCAAACGATTCTAAAAAAACGCACAAAAATATGAGAACTTTGATATCTCGATGAAACACGCTTCCAGAATCAATTTGTATAGGATGTAGTAGGAATATTTAATTATTCATCTAGCAGCTTCGCAATGATTGGCTTTCGCGGTGATTGGCTTTTACGGTGATTGGCAGAAAC